TGAACGCTATCGCGAAAAGACGAAAATTAAGAGATTATTGAACAAGGACTTCGACAATGACTTTAAACGAAAAAGAAGCCAGGAACAGCTTTTGGAGCCAGCTTGTTTTCTTTAAGAAAGCTGTGTGTGACTTAGATGGATAGACCTCAGTGAGAGCTGTCGAATGGTGTATGCTATGTACCCTTTTAACCGATAAGAAATCATGTTTTCTGAAAAGACTAGGAGCAGGCACTACTCCAAAGTTTCAAAGCTTGTATCTCTGGCACCGCGCAAAGAATTGTCGGGAAATTCACACCAGACACTCAGAAAAACTTGAGGAACAAAAGTGTTGTCTCAGATTTCTTTTATAAACACTTTCATTTTTTTTCGTCGATTGTAAAACGCACTTGCAATTCACTCATATATAATTGGTAGAATATTTCAGGGACTACTTTGAATGTGCCATCGACAAGAAATTCGTCTGTGGATTGTAGAATATCTAGTTGTTCAGTGCTTGCGAATATTAATATTCTATCATCACCTGCAACAGTAGAAAACAAGAAAGTAGTATAACATTTATTACCAGATATATTCACCGGCGTACCTGGACCAGTATCACAGCGCAAAAACTGATCTTGACGCACAGTTTTACTTAATGGTATCAGAACAGACGCAAAATTTGGATCGTTTGCTGTTGTTATAGGATTATTATTTTGACGCAACATTCTTATTCGTCGTTTTATATGATCACGCAATGGTAAACGAGCGATTGCTGGATCAGACATGCCTAGGAGCAACGATTATTTATTAGTAAAAGTTATTGCTAAAAATTGAGCATCTCTACCTTTGTAACAATTTGTAATGATCATATCTGGTGTTTCTTAAGTATGAAGAGCACGATAAGCAATTTGTTCGCCGAATTTCAGAAGTTCAACTGTTGTACCGTCAATTGTGCATATATGTTCCGTTGGTGGTTTTATAATATTATTTGTAATAACACATGTGTGAAGACGAGAATTACAATGATGTAATGAATAATTTATACAACGCCAATAAGTTTTTTCATTTGTTAATCGATCCATTATATATGAATAACCGTTGAGATCTAAACGTGGTTTGTGCTTTGTTGTACCATTATTAGAAATTGCTGCCATACTGAAGAATTGATAATGTTAGAGAGCAAACGTGTTCCGTCATTATTTATAGTAGAGAGTAATCAATTTATTACTACTCGTTGAAGACTACTAATCTGATGCAATTTACATTGATAATTAGTTTTTATGATCAAATTTTAGTTTGATTAATAGATGGTTACTATTTATCCAATATTTTCGCCGATTTTTCTTGGTGTTCATCATTCCTGTTCTTAACAATCATCGTGCTGATTATTCCTATGCTCAAATTTCCCGTGCTGAAGTTTCCCAAGGAGAAAAAAAATATCGACTATCGAGCGATCTAGCTAGGTAACCCGATATACCTAGCTAGAAATTCGAATTGGGTTATTTACTATCGGGCGATATAGCTAGCTAACACGATACATTACTAGATATAGCTAGCTAGTCCAATATACTACCCGATATAGCTAGCTAGCCCAATATATTACTCGATATATCGC